GCATAAACTTACTTCACATTGCATATACGTTTAACATTTTTTATATATCAAATGTAGCATTAGCTTTAACGATCTCATCGCTACCGAAATTATGTAATATAAATGTAAGTCTGACACTTCTGAGATTAATGTACACGCACGTTCGCAATAACCTTCCATGTTTGTTATTCACAAATCGTGACAAATATACCGTGCGATTATATAAAGCAAGTGATTCATGAAGTATGTAAGAATAGTGCCTTAAGATTTTATAAGAAATCTTGTCAATATTTCATTGTAAATATAAAATTATATTACAATATTTGCACACATCACACATGATTATTATTTAAAGAGTCAGCAAATCTCTAGAATATCTCTAGAATTTAAGAGATATTCGAAATAATGATCCCAATTTTTTAAGAAAATTTAAATCTTAGACATTTAAGTTCATGTAGCTTTTGCAATAAAATTGCCTTCTAATAAAATGACTAAAATGTCTTTGTAAAGTTATAATTGTTTGATTGGTATTTGAAGTTGCCGGTTCCTCTTTGAACCAGTAGTCATAGCGCACGAATATCTAGACGCGTGATACTCAATACGGAAATAACAACCTTTGAGAAGGCATTTCCGACATTCTGACGCCACATACGATACGTGGTAAAATTTGTGTATACAGTGATAAGAAAATATCTCGAGGATAGTTGGATAGCCGGTAATTAATTATGATTAGCTAAATTTGGTGAAAACCAAAATTCAGTAATCGCAAGCTAAATTGTCCGTTTATTTCGTTCTCTGTTATTGAAGAAGTAATCTGACGATTAAATATTGGTTATATATTACAGTGAGATATCAAATTAGGTGACAAAATAAATATAGTATACCACTTTATATTTTTTATAATTTATCTTGATCAAAATCATGAACATAAAACCATTTTTTAAATACTATTTAATTGATTGCAACAGGAATGAGACATTCATAAATTTTCAATATTAACTGCTGTGGACAAGATATCAATTAAATAAATATATTAGAATTATTATATCCTCTGATTATTTTTCTAAACAAAATAATTATGATTTGAATTAGTGTAACTTACACTATTAACTTATACTATATATTATATCATTGATCCATAAAACTTTACATAAAACTTTACATTATATAATCAATTTTTACTGACATCACTAATATCAAATTTTAGAATTTCAAGATGCAGAAATTTAAGAAAGCTCAAGCACAAAATAAATTGTCAATTGAAAAACACTTGGAAGCCAATGCATCATTGAATTCATCGAGTGAAGATGAAGATGAAACGAATGAAGAAGATGTTCAAAATGTAGTAGATAAAGTATTATCAGCATACCAGGGACAAAGCATAGATGCAGAAAAAGTGATATCATACTTAGTGAATTCCTTTCAAAGTAGTAGTGCTGTTTGTTTAATATGTATATCAACTGTTAAGAAAATAGATCAGGTATATTTAAATAGCATAATATATTAATATCGTAGTATGATATTTTGATTGTTATAATATATTCTTAAATATTATATGCAAGTTTTCTTCATATTAATATAATAATGTTCAAATAGGAAAAGATGATTTTAAATTTTATAAATATGACTGAAAAATGTCTGCATATGTATTATACTTTGTACTGATTCAATTGTTTAAAAAATATAGTCAACTTGTTATAACTTGAATATTCCATGAATCTTCTATTGAAGAATGTTTCATTCTTTCAGATATGGAACTGCGACAAATGCTATGCATTTCTACACATGTCTTGCATTCTACACTGGATCAATGACAGTTTGAGTTACAAACGGGCTAAAGGAATTATGCCAATCTGGGCATGGTATGTATTTATTATTCTAAAATGGAATTACAACAGAATATGCTAAAATTTATTTAACGTATTGATGAGACGTATTGATGAGACGTATTGATGAAAAATCTATATGTTACAGTCCAAAATGCCGTATGGAATATGACCAGGATCAAATTCCAAGATCATACAAATGCTTCTGTAAAAAGATTGTAGATCCTCCGTATCAACCTTGGATCATTCCACATTCCTGCGGCGAGGCTTGTGGCAAGCCCCTACAACCGGAATGTGGCCACAAATGTGTATTGCTCTGTCATCCTGGTCCTTGTCCACCTTGTGCCAAGATGGTATCGGTTAAATGTTATTGTGGCAAGCTACCGGCGCAGCCGCGACGTTGTAATGCTAAAGATTGGAGTTGCGGAACTATATGCAACAAAAAATATGAATCTTGCATGCACACTTGTAATAACTTGTGTCACACTGGAGAATGTCCCCCTTGCATAGAAACGGTGGTATTGAAATGCCGTTGTAAAAGTAACGAGAAGGTAGGAAAGTGCTACGAGGGGACATGGATTTGCGAAAAGCCTTGCAACAAGAGATTTTCTTGTAACGTACACAGCTGCGAGAGCACTTGCCATTTGTCCGGTGATTGTGGCAACTGCCCCTTAGAGAAAAACAGATGTTGTCCTTGTGGAAAAAAACGATATGAAGTTTCATGTAGACAACAGCAAGTGCCAACATGCGGCGATACATGTGGCAAGTTATTAGATTGCGGATCGCACTTCTGCAACATGAGATGCCACACCGATCGCTGTGGCCAATGCTTGGAAGTAGTAACGAAAGCGTGCAGATGCGGAAGCTACACGAAAGAGATTGCCTGCGTGAAAGAGTTTCACTGTAGCAAGAAATGCATGCAAATGCGCTTGTGTGGTAGACACTTATGTAACAGAAAATGCTGTGACTGTGTGTCGAGGAACGTGTCCAATCCATGCGAAAAGACGTGCGAGAACACCCTCAACTGTCGTAAACACAAGTGCGCCGCACCGTGTCATAGCGGTCCTTGCTATCCATGCACCAGAATGGACGTCATACAATGTCGATGCGGCAGCAGTAAGATAACGGTGCCATGTGGTACCAGAAAGAGAATCAGGCCACCACCATGTAATAAATCCTGTAAGATTCCACCTATTTGCCATCACAGTAAGAGGGAAACGCACAAATGTCATCAAGGCCCATGTCCGCCGTGCAAAAAGATCTGCGGACTGACGCATAAAAGATGTGGTCACTCCTGCCCGGCTACTTGTCATACCAAAGTCTGGGTAAAAGCGAAGACAAATGGGGTAAAAGCACAACCTATTGGACCTTGGGAAAAACCGAAGGACGTTATGGAGTTAAAGACTTTACCATGTCCATCGTGCGAGGTTTCTGTATCTGTAACTTGTCTTGGTGGCCATGAAACACGCCCTTGGCCGTGTCATATGTCGAAGCCAAGTTCCTGTGGCAGACTCTGTGGCCAGCTACTGCCGTGCAAGAATCACACCTGCGAATTTACTTGTCACAAAGTACAAACTTCTGATGACGAGTCTGACAGCAGTATTCCATGCATGGAATGTGAGAAAGAATGCAAGTTTGCACGACCAACGGGTTGTACGCATACGTGTCCGCAACCTTGTCATCCAGCACCGTGTAAACCATGCAAACAACTGATACGAATCTCTTGTCATTGTGGTATCAGTACCCTTTATCGGCACTGTGTAAACTTAACGTCTGCAACGAGCAAGGAACGAGACGAATTACTCAAATGTGGAAACCAATGCCCCAAAAATGTAATTATATTTATGCTTAATGAAATATATACAAATTCTTTTTTCTTTTTCTACAAAGTACAATCTGTTTCTTCATTTTAGTATTCATGCGGTCACCGTTGCATTAACGATTGTCATCCAGGAGAATGCAAAGGCGGGGAAGAATGCAGCAAAAAAGTCAGATTATGGTGTAAATGTAAACGAATCAAGAAGGACTTTCTTTGTTCGTTTCTTCAAAAAGAACAGCTTACTGTAGAGTGCGATAGCGTGTGTGAATCATTGAAAAATGAAAAAAAGGTAGCCCAAGAAACTATGATAGCAAAGAAGCTTGAGGAAGAGAAGCTACGCAATCAAGAAGAAATTGAGAAATTTGAAAAAAAATTTAAACCACGGCGAAAGCGAAAGGATAAGTACGAGAATTCGAAACAGTTCCGAGAAAACGCAAGAAATAAATGTTGGAATGCATGGATTTTAGCGATTATTGTAAGCTTGATAGGAATAATAATAATATATATGACCGTACCAAACCTAAGTGTATTTGGAATGAGCTGATTCTAGAAATTGATTTCACATTTATGACCATTTATGATGATAATCATTGATAAGTGAAAGATTTGTGATGTATCAACGCTTATACCTATTATAATAAGCCCGATCCTATTATCTAGTTTATGTTAATGAAAATAAATATACAATTATGGCATTTTTTATATATACATTTATAATCAGTGATAAAGGCCTAGTAATCATTTGGAAGACTCGATTTTCATTTCCTGGAATGTAAGAACTTGTAGTATTTAATGTTATTATAATTTTATTATGTATATATATATATATATATATATATTACATATATATATATATATATATATATATATATATATATATATATATATATATATATATATATATATGTATTATAAAATAAGATATGTAATAAAGTATAAAAAGAATTGTAACTAAAATTGTAACTAAAATTATTTTAACTTTTAATATTAACTGTGTCTGTTAAATGTTGATCTAACAGTAAATGTATAACTTATTTAAATATTACAAAAATGATACGTGAAAAAAATATATGCACGATATATTGTATGGAATTGTGAAGAATAGAATAAAATTGAAATAGCTTTCAGAATAAG